TTTATGTTAATTGTTTATTTTTGTCCATACCTGTAAAGTTATACCAAACTCGACCATACTTCCTGTTTGAAAATTTTTAGCTGTCCCGTACTACCCCTAAGGGCAAACATTTCAAAATTGACCATCATTATTGTAGCCCTTCATATTTAAAAAGGTCGCCGAAAACCGATTTCAAATGTCTCAAACAGTTAAAAAGTTACGGGGTTTCCATGTTAATTTTCAGCCCCGTTTTAGGGCACCATTTTGTTATTTAACGGTCCAATTTTAGTTTTCTTTATGTCAATTGTTTAGTTTCGTCAAGACCTGTAAATGATAGCAAACTCGACTATACTTGCAATTTGAACATTTTAAAGAGAGGTAGGAATGTAAGAAGACCTGAGAGCAGAGTGGAAAAAAATCTTTAAGGAATTAATCAATTGGATCCTCCAATTGGAGAAAAACAGATGCTGAAGATGAGCTACAAGAACTAAATTGATTTACAAGAGATTTTGAGGGAAAAAGAACGGTTAGAACAAGAATTTAAGATCAAAGAGATGGTAGAACAAAAGAAAATGAATATCAAAAAAAAAGAAGAAGCAAAAAATGGAACTTGAACGAAAACTTAAGGAATTAGACAGACTAAATATTTTAAAAACCAAAGAAAATGAAATCAGAAAATCGAGTTCATCTCATAGTGGATCAATATTGTCAAGATTGAGTGTCACATCATCTCACCACAGGACTTCAGATTGGATTACAAAGCAGGGTCCCTACAATGAAAAACCAGGATCAACCTTGAATGATCGTCCGGGATGTTCTAGAGAATATCCGAAGAAAGAAGAGACAGTCCCACTCGGCCAGGACAACCAACAGAGACGAGATGCTGCTGTGAATTCTCGTAAAGAATTAACTTCAGGAGAAAAAGTAAGTCCAACACTGTCAAATTTAAACTATAATCATGAAAATGGAAATAATTTGAACCTTAAGAATTTGTTTTCAAGACAACTATTAACAAAAGAGGTGCTTATATTTGATGGTAATCCTGTTGAATGGCCTCATTTTATTTCAGTGCTAAAGAGAACTTCGTCACTTTGTGAATTCACTTTTGACGAAAACTTTATTAGATTAAGTTATGTTTTAAAAAGAGGCTAGGGAATGTGTAGTCACTTTTGATGGTGCCTGGTAACTGAATACAGTTTTCAATCGTTTGGAAAATAAATTTGGAAGACCAGACCTAATTATAAGCCATGTAATTGGGAAATTCGAATCAGATGTTGAAGTTTAATGGAGCAAATGAATGCAATCTACAAAAGTTGACTGATCATATTGAAAATCTTGTAAGTACAGTGGAATTGGTAGATAAACCAGAGTACTTGTTTAATCCCATATTGTTAAACCAAATGACGAGTAAACTTAATAATAGTTTGAAGTTACAATGGTGAGAGTATTTAAATGAGTTGGGGAATGACTGTATCGATCTAAAGACATTCAGTATTTGGTGGCGTAAGAAATCAGATGCATTTTTACGTATAAACACTAACTTTTCTCAACATAAATCTCATGAAATTACATCTTGTAAGAGAGATATATCAGATGGAAACAACACAGGAGTTTGAAGTTTTGAAAATAAAGAAAGTTATGGTTCTATAGATGAACGGGTTAAATGGGCATTATCTGAGGGAATTTGTTTTCTTTGTCTGAAGAAAGGTCATACAGCACCCAGTTGTAAGAGTAAGGTGAGTTGTAAAAAATGTAAGAAACGCCACAATACTTTTCTACACCCTCCAAACAAGAGTGATTCTGGTACAAGTAATGTAATAAGCTCACCAAATAAAGACAAATTTTTGTTGCGTATTCTTCAAGTTAAACTTCATGGACCTAAGGGAGATCTGGAAACTTATGCGTTCTTAGACGACGGTTCAACATTGACTTTACTAGAAGAGGAAATTGCAGGTAAGTTGGGAATTGAGGGTCCAGTTTCTGAGTTGGATGATCATGCAATGGTCAAACGATGTGTCTAGATCTGAGGGAAGATCCATGAAAATATCTCTTAATATTTCGGGACTTGAAGATAATGCTAAAAAGTATTATTTCAATAATGTAAGAACAGTAAACGATTTGTCACTTCCTATTAAACCGATTAATATGGAACATCTTTCAGTTAAGTGGAAACACTTAAATAAGACCAAAGTCTCTTCTTTCAAAAAGGCTAAACATTCTAATTGGCCAAGACAATTGGCCTCTCCTTGTCTCTAGGAATGTTGTGTACGTACATGGTCCAGCAGTAAGTAAAACACTTTTAGGTTGGGTTGTACATGGAATAGTTTCTGATAGGAATGAACACCCAACATCCCAACAAGAACATGTATTTCATCACGTAAATTTGATCGAAGAAGATGAGTTGGTAGAGCCAGGAGCTTAAGCAAGAGCTTGCTGCAAAAAGCTTAGAAATTTAGTTGGCAAATCCTTAGGAGAACATTGTAAAGATGACTTGAATGACAACGAACTACTATCTGAAGAGGATAGAAGAGCTGAAGACATATTTCAGAAAACTACAAAGAAGTTAGGAGATCGTTGGGAAACAGGTTTATTGTGGAAAGAAAAATTTTGATTTACCAAACAATTACAATTTGGCGATTATGTCTAACGATTATGTCTAAAGATTATGTGATTATGTGGAAAGAAGAATGTATTAAGATAACGAATTTGGTGATAAATATGAACGCAACATGGAGGAATATATTACTAAAGGGAATGTCACAGAAAGAACTGCGGAAGAAGCAAAACTTCAAGTCAAAATTTAAGTCAAAACAGCAAAGAGAAGCCACTAACAAAAAGAGAAGCAATGAATTTATTACTACAAATGAAATATTTAATCCTGGAAAAGAATACGTGCGAATAGTTGACGTCAAGACTGGCTGCGGAATAATAAAACAAGAAAATCTTGTATACTGTAGGGGAATGTATAGTTCTTTGAGGTGGTAGAATGTCACCAATCATTATACAACCTTAATTTGCCTTTTGTACTGCTGCTTATTTGATATCATATGTTCAGCTGTTCTTTGTTTATTTATATTTTGTAAACAAATATCAATTACATTCTGTTGTTCAATCCAAACAAGAACTCTCTCTTCTCTTTCTTATAGTTCTTTGATGTGGAAGAATGTCACCAATCACTATACAAACTTAATTTGCCTTTTGTACTATATACAATTTAATGTCTCTTTCTTGCTGCTTATTTGATATAATATGTTCACCTGTTCTTTGTTTATTTATATTTTGTAAATAAATATCAACTACATTCTGTTGTTCAGTTAAAAAAAACTCTCTCTTCTCTTTCTTTTTATAATATACTAGCAACCATATACCCATGCTTCGCAATGGGAAGATAACGCTTCAGAGAATCTATATATTAATATGCAAGCATGTAATTATTATTCTATAGATCTGCTGTATGTAGATAAGCTTTTAGTAACCCACTAAAAGTATTAACTTAAAATAACTGGCTACTTTCGTTTCACAGACATACTTTTTTGGAAAATAAACCATACAAATTCAATAGGTTTCTATAAAAATTTTGGAAAAAAGAAACTCTATAAAATGATGAATTACGCACTTTTTTTACATTTTTGTTTACCTATTTTTTATTATTTTCTTTTATGTTAAGAGGTGCGGTGAATGGACAGTGAAGCTATTTCTAGCTGTTTGATACAAGTGAGTGATTAAATGTGTTCGGAACACGATGAATGTGAGATTAACAAACCATGTATGTTGTTCGTTCCAAGAGGTTGTCACCAATCTTTAACAGGTCACCATTTCATTGAAAAGTATTAAAGTAAAGTATTAAAGTATTAAAGACGTCGTGAAAGAGAGCGGCGAGTTTAGGTACAACCGTGCCCACCTCGGCCACCTTAGGACGTAAGGTATGAAAGTTCCACTGCTTTTAATATCCTTTCAGATGACAATTTCTCGAACTTAGGCCCTTTAAATGAAATACAAAGTCAAAGTTGATTTAATTAATTTAACGGTGGCTTCTGTACACCCGTGAATTCGCGGGTAGAACCTCTTGTTATTTATTAAATTAAAAACACAAACATAACTGTAAACAATCCTACTTTGACAGTTCTAATTTTGTATCACAGCTGCTTGGTTGAAATTAGCAACTGTTGTCGTAATCTTAGACAATTAATAATGCTGCACCTTGTTTTTACATTTTGTAACCTTTTAATGCTATTGATCATCACAGAATCAACTTGTTTAGTTGAAACAGCTGTTAAGATGCTTTCATTCCATTTAAATATGAGTACTCATAAGGTTAACATGGGAAACTCCAGAGCCACTGGGGCGGAGCCCTTTTAACGGATCTGCACCAAACCATCCTTGAATAGTGCTTTATAATGCCTGAAAGTTTCATTACAATCTGTCGAGCGGTTTCGGAGTCCATAACGTTCACATAAATAAATAAATATATACCGATATATATACATGTATATATGATATATACAAACTTCCTCTTTTATAAATGTAGATTTACTTTTTACTTTTCAAATCACCACATACCTGTGTTCTGCCAATATTACATTTTATGATATGATGTCCTCCTCCGGTATGGAAGTGGTGGAGGACAAACCCAATGACGGCGGGGGCAGCGATGTTAACAATTCTATATAGTACTTTCTCAAATACAATTGAATATTCTCAACTGCATTTGTTGTTTTATCAAAGACTAATCTAATCTGCATTAGATATTTTCTCAAATACAAGTAAAGGTTCTCAAATACAATTAATAACTTCTCAAATTAATGTGGAAAATGGACGCTATCTGACTATTAAGTTGAAGAATTAATGGTTCAGGGCACATGTGTTCTTATAACTTATCATAACATAACAAAATAATTAACTGATTCAATTATGTGATTTCTGCGAGCTGTTACCTTTAACCTAGTTCTAAGAGAATGTGTTAGTTACCACAACTAGCAGCACTAGAGGTCTGAGCACTACATCTAGCTGCTTTCTGTCAGCTTTCCGTGAGACAGCAATGCGAACCACGAGAAGATCACAAGAGTTTCGATCAAGATGCAGACGGAAACAGCGAGGTGAAAACATCTTCACTTTCTTCTCTCTTCTCTTTACTGTCAAAACTCTGCTTGCTGGCTTCAACACATTTGTGCATGAGCATTTTAGTTTAACAGCATTTCAAAATACTTTTCACTTTTATAGCAATTAAATATTGTACTCTGCTGATTCATTTTGTATGCAAACTATATTTTGCCTGAATATCCTAGAATAGTATAAGAATAAACTTATTATTTAATGTTCGGGTAAATAATGGTTGTAAAGGAGTGAAGAAAAATCAAAAGTTTAGGTTACAAAAATTGAATCTATACCGATTTTAGAACCATAAAAGGTTAGTAGCAGAAAAACAAGAAAAAATTGTTTTAATATCAATTTTAAACTTATATTAAAACTGTTATTAATATGAGTATAGTTGACAACCGGCAAAATTGAAAATAGTTCAAAAATTGTTTTACAACTATATTGCAACAATTTTACAACAATTTTACAACAATTTTAAAACTGTTTTTACAACAATTTTAAAGTTGACTTTGCAACAAGTTAAAAATTGTTTTCACATAGGACCAACCATCCCATGGGCATATCCTAAAGACGAAATAGCCTAATAAAGATTTTGTATGAAATTCATATATATCAGTTGAACATTTTGATTAAATAGTACATAAAAACAAATTTTGAGGAAAAACTAGAATCAAAATTATGTTCCCCCACCGGTCTTGAACCCAGGACCTCCAGCCTTTGAACCCCTTAATGCACGACGTTTTCGGTCGGGCGGAATCGATGTCCCTTTTATGCAGTTTCTCCGCCGAGCGGAATCCGCTGTTTTTTTATGATGCCCGCGGTGGGGGTTGTCAGTGCTGCCAACTTTGTTCATTTGGCCATAATCAGTGACAGTGACCCAAGATGAATTATTTTTTATTGGTTTATACCTATTTGTGCGTAAAGAAAAATAGACGTCGGCGAAGGAGTTGTGGGCTTGTACACCCGGTGAATGAAATTCGTAGGGCTGGCCTTTTGTACAAAAATTCCCATATTAATCCCGGGTGACACCTTTGATACAAAAATCCCCATGTCTGTCCCGGGAATACAATGGTTATATTATTTCAATGAAACAGTAAGGCGAAACAGTAAGTATTATTCCGCGGATTTAAACAATAATTCAAATTCCGTCCAGTACATTTTTCCCAATTACATATCTTTATAATAATAATATATTTACAATGATTATGAGATTTCAATACTGTGTATGACAGAGCGTGGGGAAGGTTGGCAGCACTACATTCCGCCCGACTGAAAACGCAGTTGCATAAAAGGGTTCCATTTTAACCTATGTAAAAACACGCTCCGACGAAACGTCGAAACTCGGCGGAGTCTAAGTCCTCCGTCGGCCTCCGACCATACTTCGATGCCTCCGACGGAAAGCTGAAACGCGACGGAGATTCCGTCGTGCATAAAAGGTTCCCATTTGAACCCATGTTAAAACACTCACCGACGGAAAGCCCGGTAGATTCTGATAGATTCCGCCCGACGGAAAACGCCGTGCATAAAAGAGACCTACCTCTGAGCTATCTGTGGTTATTGATATTTCATGTTTTCAATCGGTCAAAGAGGAGCGGACAGTTGCAATGGTTGCAATACTTTTGATACTATGATTATGTTTAGGCCTCAAGTTGTTGAATTGATTTTCTGGGAGTTGAGGAGGATACCGGTATTTGAATGTAGATGAATTAATTAACATTGCTAATGTTATCATAATTATTGTTATATGATTAATTCATCTCCCCCCCCTTAAATTGTTCAACTACTAAAAAATTTCTCAAATAACTGAAAAAAAATATATATTTGCATAATTATTATTATTACATGTTAAGCAGGCGTTCCATCACTGTATCTAGTATGTTAGTATCACAACTATCACAATTAACGTCATCGGTAACTTATCACAAAAATAACTGTAACTGTAACTTATGCAATATGAATTTACCTATTCAAGTAGGCATAATTCAATATTCATAATGTAATAACTACTACGAAATTATAAAGAATTGTATTATATATAAAAAAAATAAAAATAATTTTTACTTATTTTAATAGGTACTTTTCCAACTTCATTTCATTTTCTGTTAAAAAAATTAAACATTATAGGCTGTTATTTAAACATGATTGATAAAACCTATTTATCTAGTATACCGGTATATTAAAATTAAATGCAAGCAAATTTAAAAACGACCAAAAAAGGGATACAACCCATTAAACATAAATAATCAAAAAAATTAAACATTTATTTCAAAATTGTTGAAACTTGTTTTTTTTTAAGAACAACACAAACAATTGTTAAATAGTATTGTAAACAATTTAAACATTGTTTTAAAATTGTTTATAAAAAAACTAAGAATAAAACAATTTTAAAATTGTTGTAAAATAGTTACAGCTTGTATTAAAACTTATTTTTTAAACTGCTAAAAACTGATTGTTTAACAATTTTAAAATTGTTGTAAAATAGTTACAACTTGTATTAAAACTTTTTTTACTGGAAAAAACTGATTGCTAAACAATTTTAAAATTGTTGTAAAATAGTTACAACTTGTATTAAAACTTATTTTTTACAGAAAAAACTCATTACTAAACAATTTTAAAATTGTTTCAATCTTATATTAAAATTGTTGCAATATCAAGTTAAAATCAAAATGTTTTAAAACTGTTATACAACAATTGTAATACGACCTTTGACAATTTTTTACAATTTTTTTGCTTATTGGGTTATGGCACAAACCTCAAATTTCTTCTGATTTTATCAGTACGTATATTTAATATTTTGACCAATAGCGAATTCCTCAAATTTACACTGTCAAGAAACTGTTATTTAAAATAACTTCAATAACATTTACTTGACGATAGCCTAACTTTATGTACAACAGGAGATACCGTAGGTATATTTACTGTTTGCTTACATCACATACACTTTCAGGCATATTAAACAACGCAACTGCATTGTGAGTTCCACATTAGGTACCGGTAATAAATTCTGGTTTAATGACTCTTACAACTAAATCTAAATAACACTCTTAATTTTTACTATTACTACTGACGCCTTTTTTTTAGCCATTTGGTACAGTAAAATTAATCGGCACTGGTAGTGCAAGTCATTTTCTTGTACAGTCGTCGTGCTTGGGCCAAAGCCCCTCGTTCCTGCCTCCACCCCTGGCTTAAGTCTGGGACTTATTTGCCAGGCCGCTTTCCATGAAAAATCTTCATTCTTCTCGGGCTTCAGCCACTTTTAATCCTCTCCCTGGCACATTCTGTGCCCCAAACCCTTACAGCACGACTCCCCTCCTCCTACCGCCCTGAGCAATAGGGATCATTGGGATTACCTCTAATCTTTCCTCTCCCATTCAATGGGAGGTTCTCATTCCTTTTAGCGAATTTCCCATATAGGGAATAAGCTATTACCGTAGTACTCATGGTAAGACCTGGACGCGGGACCGATTTTTTTTTTCGTTTTGAGGTCCCTAGAGGCCAAAAACACCATTCGTTCAAATTCATATATATATATATATATTTATATATATATATATTTATATATTTATATATATATATATATATATGTGTCCGTTAGCACGATAACACGAGCAAAAATGATCCGATTTTGATGAAATTTGGTAAAAACGTGTAAACCTACGTTTATTCGAACGAGTTCGCGATCCAGCATGATCGGACCATGGGAACGGGGTTTTATGGGGTAAAAATAGGTTTTTCCCATTTTTGACTCAAAAAACATTAAATTTGGCAATTTCTTTCTAAACCATTTTGTAGCTTAAAAAAACAAATAATTTAGTATATTGAAGCGTTATTATGCGCCTAATGGTTACGGAGAAAATTTCAAAAAATTGTAAATTTAAAATTCCCATGTTATTCTTATGGAGAATAAGTAAACTGTTGTAGTTTGCTTGTTTATGAACATATTTTGATCGAATTTTGAAAATTTTTTATTTCTTACTAACTATTAGCATTTTACAAAAAAAAAAAAAAAAAAAAAAAAAAACAGTTTTACCCTCCCTGATGCAGCATAAAACTCCCTTAAGTACTTTTTAAACTAATTCTATTTAAATCGGGAATAAATGTTATATTTTTAAGTAGACATTTCAGTGTAAATCCAATCAGTCAAATGGAAATTCGCTTAGTCTGCAGGTTTGCTGCGGCGGGGGTATTTGTTTTCTTTTTCAATTTAATAGCCTGTATGTTTCTCTGATTCTTCCTATTTTCCTAACTAATTTCCTAAACGTCTCAATTATTTCCTTGTCCCTCATCAAGTTTTATTTTGTCATCTCTAAACCTTTCCTATCCAAACCACCAGGTTAAATCTCCGCAAATTCGCCTTGAAATTTCCATGTCCTGTGACAAACTGTGTCCAATAATGGTCTATCTCCCAATCTTATTCAAGTCTCCTTCTGATGTTTGGCATTATATCCAAATGTTTCCCTTCCTTTCTCATTCTGCTCCCAGCGCATTTGACACTCATCTAATGTCTCCTCTCTTCTGACACTCTTGCTTTCCGATATAGTCCTACCCGCCTCTTTTTCTTCCAAAATCCTAATCCGTGCCTAATCCTTTCTTCAATGAGCAGGTTGAGTGGTATGGCTCTGGTCAAAACCCTAATCTCATCATGCAATAGGTACTGTGTTGTATGCTTTAGTTGGGATAACTTCAATCCATTTGGTGAATGCGTCTACAATAATGAAGTCCAATACAATAATGAGTACAATAATGAATACAATAATTAATGAGTATCTACTGGTAAATCTATACGTGTCTGCTTAACATAAGAACCCTTCACAAACTTGAACATGATATTGGATGGCTGTAATAGAATTGAGAATAATTACCTGAACAGAATAAGGCTTTAATCACACTTGAAATATGTTAGGAGTTATGTAAAAACCGTCAAACAAATGAACAAAATTAAATAACATGTGATTATAAAAATTTAAAACATAAAGTAAAGAAGGAAAGGCAGAGTATAAAATATTATAACAATGGCTTAAGCAAGCAAAACATTATTTCTTTACAAATTATATTTTTTAGGTTAATCAATAGTTTAAGAAACATTATCAGTGCTTGCAGCCAACCCTAGGGCCATAAATTTATTCTTGCCCTACATTCTATGTTAATGTTTAGTCCAAACAAGGTTTTAAACTAGCCTAACGTATTTATTTGGTCACCATGTAAGAATGAAGATTTACAATGAATACCTAGTGGGTAAAACAGAAACAGATACCGGTAACCAAAAAGTAGGCCTACTCTATAGGTACGCAAAAGACAAAATCTTAAAAGAACAAAGTGGTACGTTGATGTGAAATATATATATATTGTAGTTTAAGTCTGTAACCTGGAAATAACTTCACGTGTAACCTACTACATCATACTTTCCTATTTCCACTACTATTACAAAAATGCTCAGTAAAGGCTTATTTTATCATAGCTTGCTCTTTTGTATTTTGTACTATTAAATTTTTTTATAGTGGTAATTATTGTTGGATCATTAGCAATAGTGGTATTTAGTCGAGTAGTTATTGTACTCTTACATTTCCATTTCAGTACCTACAGTCCTATGTTTTATGAATCTGTTTATTGTTATTTTTGTTTTGTTACTAAACTTTGTATTGTAGTCTCTGTGTCATAAGTTATGTTATTTCTATCTATTGCTGACCATACCATGGAATCAAATATTTTTAACTATATTACAGTAGTAGTAGAGCGGAATAACATATTACCTCCTTCTATAGTCACCTCAAGATAGTTTGTTTAAGGAGACAGTCTGCAGTTTGTTACTCAGCTCAACAACGATCTATCACAGAATACTAGAATAGGAAGAGAAGTATAAACTTGAGTACTGGTACATACAGGCCCACTTTTATAAACGGGCAGACTGGTCATATACCAAGGGGCGCCGCAGGTTTGGGGGCGCCCACCGGGTGCCCCTCAACAGTCAACACTGCACTAAGAAAAAAGGGGGCATTGCTTTTGGGTTTGCCCAGGGCTCCACTGACCCTTAACGCGGCCCTGGGTACATAAACAGTTGGATCTTTCATTTTTGTGTTACTTTCATATTTTATATATTGTATAACATACTGTAAACGATCTGTAGAAAAAACTATACCTGTTTTAGTGATTATTTTTACACTTATACAATCTTCAACAAAGCACTCCTGACTCACCCTTGTCCTAAGATTTTATAACTAAAGATCATTCTTGTTAACAGATGTTTTAATTGTTCTATTCTTATTTCACTACTTTTCTTAAAACATCTGTAAATTTTTCTGGAAAGTGGAAAATTATCCAAATCGGAATTTTAAGGCCATTAATCCTTGCAATGCTATGTCATAGGAAATACTTGTGACCAAATTACTATCCATGTATACAGCTAAAGGTTTTTACAATCACATAGCCTACCAGCTATTGCTCACTCTACTTTTTTATACATTTTGTATACCTTTTGCTATAATTAATTGATATAATTAATTAGATTTTACCATGTTTAAAATGCAATTGACATTTACAGTATTGTTTTTTAATCAGATCTCAAGCACACAAGGACCTTTAAAGTTAAGTGTTTCCATCTAAATACCAAACCAGCATTTGTTTTTATTTAGAGATAGCAAAGCTTTAGGGCCCTTACATATTTACTTCATCAGTGAAAAAGTTAATGGTGAAAGTAAGTGGTCAAGTACTTGTTTTGTATAGGCCTACAAAATATTATTTGTAATTGAGTGAAAATTTAAAAACGTACGTTTTCATGTCCCTGGCCTTTTACTTCGTAGATACTGGATTTGTAGTTTATTATTATGTGTTTTAATATTTTTTGGGACGGGTGCAACATGTTACACACATTTATTTGGTTTTGAATAGGTTCTAGGTATTTTTTTCGTATTTTTAAAGTCTCGAAATTCACGACCATGACGTGTCCCTAGGGTACATTTTCCAACTTTCACGCTGTTTTTAGACTAATTATTCATGCCGAAATATATAAAGCCATATTTTTATGTCATCAATGGTTATTAAAATTACAAAAAAGGAGCATATTATAATTTTATTGTCATTACAAACTGACTACCATGACAAAATAAGTCTGTCCCTCGATTTGGCGTCACGACCATTTGGGAAAGATTTTCAACTTTGGAGCTCGACAGTGGCAAGCCTGGCGTCGATGGAGTCAGTTGGTTTTAGAGACTAGTTCGGGGTGTATGTCAGGATTGTAGTGCCGGTCGTTTCGAGTTGAAAGGAGGAATTACAAGATTAATAAAGGAAAGATTGTGTTTTTTGTAATTTTGGTGTGTCCATGACCGTACGCAGTCATTCGATGAAGTAGACATGGTGTTAATTTTTGTTTATAAGATATTTCAATTGCTAGATTAACCTAGAAGTCCACTTTGTATCCTCGAACATGAGGTTCAGGGCTACCGCCAGAACAGAGCCAAATAACACGTAATTTCACGACCAAAGTTTCACGACCATCGCGGGTTTTTTCACGACCAATCCAGCCTTATGGATTATAGTGTGTTTGGTCGTGACAATAACTTTAATATAATTGTAAATTGAACAGTTTAGTTCAATTGAAACACATATTTTTATTATAACTAACAGGATAATTGAAGGATTGTTTAGAAAGATTTAGATTATTCCAGACAATTCACGACCGTACCGCTTGTCCCTGACCATCACGTTTGTGATTTCTATCATAAAAATTTAAAAAATTAAAATATGGTCATAATGTTTTATACACAAAAGAAGCACACCACTATACAAACATAACGATTTTTCGGGTCTCAGGTAAGTTTTTTCGGAGTTATACAAACTTAAAAAGATTTTATTGGCTTTTTTCAATTTTTTGAGTTTTTTTATTTTTTTCTAGAAAGACCATATATACCAAAAGCTCAGTGACCTTTTTATTGTATAATGGTCATAAAAGTAAATTAGTTTATAGCAAAACATAGTTATAAAAATAACATTAACTATTTTTAATATTCATTTAAACGTCCGTTATGGTCGTGACAGGATTTTGTGTTTTTCCACTAAAGATGCTTTTTTAAAAAGAAACTACCATAAAGATATTGCGTTACCATGGACATTTTATGAAACTACAAATGTTAATAAAATAAAAATAATAGTAAAAGTTTTGAAAAAAGGGGAAAAGAATTTGCAAAGTGCTTTTCCTGAAAACGTACGTTTTTAAATTTTCACTCAATTATTAAGTTCGCAGTAAATAAAAGTAGGAGGAGGAGGAAGTCACTAAGCCTCTTGACTAAGTCCAGATCAAGTGGACATGGACAGTAAACTTGGCCTTGAACCACCAGTTCCAATTACTTTTACCATAACATATAATGTGGACAAAATAAATTATTTGGAAAATATACTTCAATCTGAAAGCAAGTGAAATATTTCAAAGGTTTTTACGTCCAATAACCCATTGTTTGCCTGATTTTAGTTTATTTCATTGAACATCATAAGACCAGATTGATTTTTACTATAAACACTGTTATAGGAGGATGACACACTCAGAGAGCACCTGGCGTCTGCGATTGCTAACTGCTGTAGCTGGGGCAGCAACTGTTACGAGTTCGGACGGCTGGGAGCTGTCACACCTCTCGTGGGCTACATGATGTCCAAGGATAAGCGTGTTCACCGCACAACGGCACTAGCACTGTGTCAACTCAGTCAGGACCCCTTCAACTGTGTCACACTGCACCAAAGTGGCGTCGTACCAGTCAGTAGTTGAACTACCCATAATCTCATTTTTATTTTGCATGTTATTGCACACAAATAATTCTTCTAAGAGTTGTACATTTGACCTCAAGTTCCTAAACTTTGTTGGGCTGATTCAAGAAACACAGGTAGGAAATCGTACGTTGAAAAGTACCGGTATGGCTTTAGTACCTATGAAATTGTACCAATATTTTGTGGACACCCTGTATTTTTGACGTACTGCATTAGGATAACTGTTTTATGGGTTAAAATCGTTAGGGTTAAAATTAGACCAGGTCCAGTAGGTCCATAAAACCTTGATTTTTTAAATTTTAATATAAATTAGTTTTTGTTATAATTATTTCAACACAATATTTAACCAAAATAAAAGCTATAAAATAAAAATTCATGTCCTCCTCCTCTATTCTAATGTAAAAAGAAACAAATAAAGTGTTGTGTGTAACATCGATGTACAGTATCTTGTAAGTTAGACTATAACTTTACTAATGCCTTCAACTTCCACCCAAGCCAGACACTGATTATTTAGGGTGGGTCCTCTACACCAGCTAAGCCACACATTAAGCTTAATATGGATTGCACATGTACAGGATTTGAACCCACGCATGTAGAAAGACTTCAACACTACACTCATTATAGTTGGCCTTAGCCAACTGACTGAGCAACCATGCCACTGTCGGCCAAACACTGATGCAGCATTTTACCTGAAGCAATTATTGCAATACAAAGTGATTTGCTGGGTACGAGCGCTCCACCTATTTCAACGAGAGCCCTGCGGAAACATTAGAGCAGCCGCTCGACACCTGGATCCGATACAGCACGATGCTTGATGATTCAAGGAGCAAAACGTTTTGTGTACGGTATGCGCCAAATCCCTTCTAACTAGTTAAGGCTTAGTGGCTATCAAAATTAAAATGACCTTTTGTTGTTTAGAAATACCCCTGCCGCAGCAAACCTGCCAACTAAGCGAATTTCCATTTGTCTGAATTGATTTTCAATCAAATATATTTAAATAACGCTAGGTTTAACGAGCCAAGATTTATCAAAATATATCCATAAACAAGCAAACTACAACATATCTAAATATTCTCCATAAGAATATAACATAAGAATTGGAAGTTAAGCTCTTTGAAAAGGTCAAGAGAGAAATTGGAAAATGTTGTGTTTTTAGGGTCAAAAATGAGAAAAACCATTTATAACACCATAAAACCCCGTTCCCATGGTCCGATCATGCTGGTTTGTGAACTCATTCAAGTTTATCCCGCCTTACACATTTAAACCAAATTTCATCAAAATCGGACAAAAATCACTCTAGTTATCGTGTTCACAGACATATATATATATATACATAAAAATTGTATCGATGAATGGTGTTTTTGGCCTCTGGGGACATAAAATGAAAAAGTAAATCGGTCCAGGGCTAGGTCTTACCCTGCCACCTATGGTAATAGCTACTTCCCTATATAGAAATTTGCTAAAAAACACTCTTCTTTGAAAAACATGTTTGAAGTTGCATTATAATGTAAACTACCCAGACAGCACACTTTATCCCAGGGACATCCCATAGTAGTCCCATATGTCCTGAGAATGTCTCGGGATATGTGCGCTATCCTCAGGATATCCCGCAAAATCCCGGGACGAGTACGAAATCCACAGGATATCCTACAATATACCGTAATGTCCCGGGATTTGTAAGTTAACCTCAGGATATCCTGTAAAGTCCCGGGATATGTACGAATGCCATAGGATATCCCAGAATGTCCCATGACATCCCGGGACATGTACAAAATCCACTGGATATCCTGTAATGTCCCGTAATGCCCCGGTAACAAACTGAAGAAAAAAAATACTACCACTGATGAAATGTACAGTATATCTAAATTTAAATGTTCAACAAGGCCAATATATAATAATTAGTTTTTTTCACTAGTGCTTTCAGAAACTTGGTTTCTATCTTCAGGCTGTGTTTACACTAGTACAAAAAGTAAATATTTACTTAATAAATTAATTTTAAACAAAGTTAAAACAGATTATTTAAAGGATATTGGAAAAATAAAAAATAATACGGTATTAGAAAAATTAATCTTTTGAATTTTGGATATGTTACAGTGTTGTTCTTGATGTAATTATTTTCAGTAATTCCGAATTTATAATTGGGCCGTCTTCATTATTTAACAAATAATTTTGGTCTGTTTTTTTTCTTTCTAAAAATAAACGCATTAAGATGTTGAGGTTTTATAATTTATTTTAAAAGTTTAAGGTTTCCCAGATTGAAAATATGTCTTGTTAATACTATGGCTAGCAAGGGTTGACTTTACTTTACTGACATATTACTACCACTGAGTTCAGGAAAACTAGAGTTCTATCATAGTTCTGTGAAATGTGAATTTAATTCTAACTTTAAATTAATAAAACAACAAAAAACTAATTTTAATCATATAACAATCAATTATTACAGTGCTAATCTAATGGTGATTAAATAATCTATATTCAAATACCAGTATCCTCTCCAACTACCAGAAAAACAATTCAACTACTTGAGGTCTAAACAGATTAACAGAATCATATATAGCCTATACTGTAGTATCAAAAATATTTTAAGTATTGCGACCATTGCAACTGTCGGCTACTCTTTAACCACTTGAAAACACCCATGATCAACAAGCAAAGATAGCTCAGGAGGTAAGGTAAGACGCTCACAAGGCGAAGGTACCAGGTTCGAAACCCGTCTGGGCCAAAAATTTGTGTTTATTAACTATTTAATCAATTTACTAAACTTATAATTAAGCTTTTCATACTAAATCTATATTATTTTGTGTTTTTTATGATCAGGCCCAGACCACACTTTATCCCAGGGACATCCCATAGTAGTCCCATATGTCCTGAGAATGTCCTGAGGACTACCCTGGGATGACCTCGGATATCCCACGGATATGCGTGTGAGCTTATCCGTAGGACATCCCCGGGCGGGGACATTAGGCATTCCTGTGGATATCCTGTGATATCCCAAGTTGACCATAGGACCACTATGGGATATCTTGCATATCCTGTCGCAATATCCGTGGGATGTCCTGAGGAGAAAGTGTGCTGTCTGGGTATATATTACCTATATTTTTGATTTCCAATTATACACTACAAACTATGATATCAAGTTTAATACACAATCACACTCATTATTTTATTCTTCACATGCTTGTACTCGCGGCTTTGCTATACATTTAGATATTTCGCCAAAACTTGTGCTTTCAAAATTCTATGAGTGCCGTAAAGGCCAATTATGTGAGTTGCTTACATCACATTCAAATCAAATCAAATCAAATCAAAATATCTTTATTCATACAAAAGTACATGTTAGTACATCTGAATAGTGTCAATTTAAATTAACATTTGCTTAACTATTCATATACTCTTCCATGGAATTTAATACTTTGCAAACCAAGTAAGTTTTTAGTTTTAGTTTAGATTTGGAAATTTATTTGACACTTTAATTCTTTTGGCAATTTTCTAAAATAACTTGCTCCTTTGTAAGTCGGCTTCTTTGTGTAAAATTCAAGTCTATGGTGAGTGGGAATGATTTCATTCTTTTTTCGCGTGTTGTAATGGTGTATTTCTTGTTCTAAAATTGTATCCTTCTTATTGTTTAAAAATACCATAATAGTGTCTAAAATAAACTGACCATAAACTGTTAATATGTTTAGCATTTTAAAATGTTCCCTGCATGATGTACCAGGATGTAGGTTTTTTATTATTCTAATTGCTTTCTTTTGTTCTTCAAGTATTTTATCTAGATTTTCTAATTTAGATGAGCCATACAGACAAATTCCAAATTAAATGTGTAAATAATGAATGTATGAATGGTAAATAATTTTAAGAGTGGATTCACTGCACATCCCTGCCATTCTTCTTAGTGCGTACCTACCAGAATTGATTTTAGCTAAAATGTTGTCTACGTGCTTATTCCAATCCAAGTTATTATCTATTGTTAGACCAAGAAATTTTGTACTTGTGACAAGCTCAATAGGCTCAGTATTCACCAAAACCAAGGGTTCTTTTTTGATCCTCGATTGGGCTGTTTTAAATGAAATGTAGTTAGTTTTCTCAATATTTAAGTGGACGAGGTTGTGATTTTCAAAAAAAGTAATCATATTTCCTATTTCAGTGAATGATAAAATTTCTACCTGTTCTAAATTATTACCTGATACTTTAAGATTTGAATCATCAGCAGGTTTGTGTTATCTGAGTTTGATAATGATTTAGAAATATTTTTCAAATAACATATAAACAAGAGTGGTCCCAATACAGATCCCTGAGGCACACCAAATTTTACTGGTTTCAATTCTGATTTATGATTTCTAATTCTATTGTTTTTGGCCAAATGAGTAATCTGAACAAACTGATATCTATTATTTAGGTATGAACTAAACCAATTCAAGGAATGAGGATCCAAGCCAAGTAATTTTAACTTAGCAAGAAGAATTTCATGATCCACAGTGTCAAAAGCCTTTGACAGGTCCATAAAAATTCCAACACATGGTTCACCAGCATCTATTGAGTCTATCACTGATTCTATAAAAGAAACACTAGCAGTTGTAACTGATTTTCCGCTACAAAACCCATATTGGGAGCTATCCACGAGATGGTGTTCTTCAAGAAAATGTGTTAGTTGTATGTAAACTTCCTTTTCATAAATTTTAGATAAAGTTGGTAATAGAGATAGCGGCCGATAATTTGATGGAGTTTTTTTGTAATTCTTTTTATGTATGGGAATAATTTTAGCTATTTTTAATTGGGTTGGAAAATTTCCTGAGATAAAAGAAGAATTAACTAAGTGGCATAAAACTTGACCAATTTCAAATTTTACTGCTTTTAGCAAAATAATAGGGATATCATACCCACTTGAGAATTTATTCTTAAATGTATTAATTATGTCTTCAATTTCTCTAGTTGGGACCTCTTTTAGTCTAAATCTTGGTTTGCAAAATATATGTTCAGAACCTAACTTAAGTTCAAGCTTTTCATATTCTGAGGTCTTATGTATTGTCTTATCAGTATTATCTTTTATTACACTAACAAAGAAATCATTAAATATTTTACAAACATCATCTGGATTGCTATATTCTAGCTCAATGTGTTGGGATTTGTTACCTTTCTTACATCCTACCTCCGAGTTAATAATGTTCCATACTGTTTTAATTGTATTACTGGATTTTCTTATTTTACTATCATAATATTCTCTTTTAGCAGTTTTTAAATTTTGTTTATGGGTTGATATTTTTGATTTTAGTAAATTTATATGTTCTAATTTTTGTTGGGTCTTTTGTTTCCTAATGTCTTTTGAAATTTTTATTATTTCACTATTTTCTTCTTTTAGTTGGGCCGATAACCAATTATTATTCTGATAAACCTTTTTCTTTATATATTTTTTTTTGGAAATGCTATGTTAAAGTAGTACATAAAGCTGTCCATAAAAACATCAAATTTTTTGTCTACCGGTGCCTGATAAACTTTGAGCCATGATTCATTTTCGATTAATGATTTGAAAAGATTAATATTTTCAGGATCAAAATTTCTTTTTTCATAAAAACATAACTTTTACTTTCGCAGCTAAGGTGGAGAGAATGTTAAATACGCTGCTACATTAGCTACGACTGTTTATTTCACAAGAACTACAATAACTGACATGTTCAAAATATTGTAATGACACTTCCTTCAACTGTTAGTTAGCACATTTTTCAGTTCACCATAGGTTAAGGAAAGAATGTGTGAGTTTCTGGCGGAAGTCAGCAGATAATTAATTGAATTGGTCATTAACAGATGATAAGTTGGCGTTTGATGCATTACAATTTCACTTCTTTTCTTTCAATCCCTGAACCCTATTGGTCCATTACTTTATCATACTAGTGCTGTAAATTAAGTAAACAATGTTGTAAAGTACCTACATCTTTTGGATTCTAAAAATTGGATTGAAAAGTAAAGTTTACAAAATGGTTGTGGGTGAAACATTTTAATACGCTGCTCTCTATGGTCATCTGGACAAAGCAAAAACAGTATTATCAGGTTGAGTTTCCTACATTTCCAATCGAAGTTTACAAGTGAGAAAAGTGTATAGCCACAGAGAAGTAATATACATAACAGGATACAGAACAGATACAAGCTGAAGGGACAGCCGTTGGCTTTTAGGTCTGGTATGTTGGGGTGGAAATGTATTAGTATCGAGCAAGGAAGAGTCCCAACTGCGATGGCCACATAACATATTTGTACAGCAATTGTGGCACACAAAGTCTCCCTATTGCGTCAGTGCTGTAGTAAATGATAGCAAGGGGGGAAAGCAGAGCAGAAGGGGACAATGAATAGAATTTGCTCTAGACATAAGCGACTGGAGCTAGACCCTACTTAGGTGTACCATTGAATGTATCCTCTGTTTTTTACTTCTCTGTAGTACAGCTGATGACCTTGGCTTCAGCTGATTCTTCTATGACTTGGGATTAAAATTAACTTTAGCCCCACAAAGCATCTATTAAAACAGCTGTTTTTTTATGCAGTACGACAACAAAATATTGAATGATTGTAGCTCTTGTTTGTTCTCAGTACTTGCTGAAGACCATTGGTTCTTCAGATGAGGTTCTTCAAGAAGCATCAGCAGGGTGCTTGAGCAACATCAGAAAACTGGCGCTGGCTTCAGACAGGGCAAAGTTTTAGATGTATTATGTTTTGATAGTTGTTATGGTTATTATGGTTGATGAATTATATGGTTATAACAAATATAAAAAATAAACGATTCAACTTAATGTTTACTAACTCTGTTTACTTTGGCTAAAATTTTGCTTGGAAAACCCTTGGAAACACATTACAGAAAAATATTTTCAAAATTAGGTCACTTTTAAATAAATTACAGCTACCAGCAAAAATTTAACTAGCCAAAGATAGGTACCTAACAGAAGACATCTTGCTCTCCAAAATTACCTGTTTTTTTTTTATCTGTGTTGTTTTAAGTTAGTTTATGATACTAGTAATATGTTTTGGGATATTAGAGGAGAAATGAAAATGTGCCAAATGCTGTACCTAGTGAAAACATATTATTAATTTTATGTATTCTATTGCTGAAACCAGTAGGAATCATGAAAGAACAATTTAAACTAATAAGTACATTCAATAGTCGATCAAATATTTTGATTTGACAAACCGAATACTGATATCATTCTTCTCAGCACTAGGAAAATGTGCTGACCAAAGCAAGCCTGCCAGCTGGTGTTCTGCCATATACTTGTGCATGTGCAGTGTGCACTAGCCTCTTTTGCTACTGTGTATCTTTTTGTTTGGTTAATCACTTGAAAATACAGACTGTAAATAACAAATAAAATAAATCAGAGTAAAAAAAATAATAATACACCAAGACTAAACGGTACAATCTACTCTATGTATAACTCTCTTAATGATGAAAGCCGTAACAGAGTGGCTCCTTGCTGCTGGGCCGAGCCGCGGCTTGTCGTCTCTTGTTGTATACATCGTATCTGACACCCACATACAGTTCTGCCAGGAAGGTGAGGATGGACATGGTAACACCCACACCCAAGATGATGAAGGCTCCCTCCATGTGGCCCAGGTTGATGGGCGTTGGTGCCACATGAGCGTGATGCTGCATACCTACGCTGGCACTCTCCTTCACTGCAGATTGTACTCGAGAGTTGAGGAACCTCCGAGCCACCTCTCCCTCCCAGTACAGCAGCAGGCCGGAGTCTAGCAGACGATGGATCAGGTGGTTGAAGCTCTGCAGGTAAGGGGAACCTGAATCAAATACACAAACTGTTGGGTATGGGGAAAAAGTAAAAAACTTAGTAATAAAAATAAATATATTAAAGAAGAAAATGTGAAAAGATAATGAGAAATACTTTGAAGTAACAAAGGGATAAAAGAATAGTTTAGAGAGAGAGAAAATGAACACTTTTTTTAATGGTTATGAGAAAATAACAAAAAGTTGTATTTACTTTTAAAAACGACATATTTTTAACAATTCAATCATTAAATATTATTGTAGCACATATCTGGTTTAAATGAGTATTTATCAATGAAACCCAGTGTTGCTGAATGTTGTGTCATTTTAGATGTTGGTCTTCTTACAGTTATATTTGAGTCTTCTGAGTCTGAAATTGTAATGCAAAATATGTATTATACACTCTGTTATTCAATTCGTTGGTTCTTTATCCAATATTCAATGATACACATAAAAACCCAAAACATAAAGTAAACATAAGATAAAACAATATTATATAAAATCAGGTGATAACCAAAAAAAAAAACTAACTAGGTATTAATATCACAAATAAATGCAGCTAGACTTCAGGACCACCTCACTAACTCGACAGTTTGGGTAACAGCTGAGGAAGGGCACACGTCTGACTGGCTTTGTCTTTAGTGTGTCTTTTTGACTTTTCAAGGATGGCTGAAGATTGTCTACTCAAAATGTAAAAATACTCATGTAGAGGCTACTGTATTCTAATTGGCAATAATGGCAATACCCCACTTTTAAGCATGCTCAACAATATACTTCAGCAATCTAGGATAGGTTACGGTAGGTTAATCGTTACCTAAACACCCGCATGCACCTTGTTCGCTACCCTAACCCCATGCAGATACGCTCGAAACAACAAAAAGGTTAAGGGTAGATAGCCTGCACAGCTAACTAGGATGCTGAATATTCTTCAAGCAAACTAGGATAGGTTACGGTAGGTTAATCGTTACCCAAACGCCCGTATACACCTCGCTCGCTACTCTAAACCCACGCAAATGCGCTCTAAACAACAAAAAGGTTAAAGGTAGATAGCCTGCACAGCTAACTAGGACGCTGAATACACTTCAAGCAAACTAGGATAGGTTACGGTAGGTTAATCGTCACCTAAACGCCCGTATAAACCTCGGTCGATACCCTAACCCCCACGCAAATGCGCTCTAAACAACAAAAATGTTAAGGGTAGATAGCCTGTACAGCTAACTAGGATGCTGAATATCTAGGATAGGTTACGGTAGGTTAATCGTTACCTAAACGCCCGTATAAACCTCGGTCGCTACCCTAAACCCTACGCAAATGCGCTCGAAACAACAAAAAGGTTAAAGTTAGATAGCCTGCACAGCTAACTAGGATGCTGAATATACTTCAGCAATCTAGGATAGGTTACGGTAGGTTAATCGTTACCTAAACGCCCGTATAAACCTCGGTCGCTACCCTAAACCCCACGTAAATGCGCTCTAAACAACAAAAATGTTAAGGGTAGATAGCCTGTACAGCTAACTAGGATGCTGAATATACTTCAGTAATCTAGGATAGGTTACGGTAGGTTAATTTGGATAACTAAGACCCCCCACTATCCTTTAAAGATCCCAATTAATCAACAGGCTAACGCTAGCTATGCGAGCACTAAAACAGCTACTGTATTTATATTTATGCAATCGTTAAAGTAAATCAAGTTGGATAATAATAATAAGTATTATTATTATTATACGAAATAAAGATGTTATTAACCAATCAGTCGTTAGGCTATTATAGCTATCGGCTATTCAGATGTGTAGTCAATAAAAAATCAAATGCTATATCGCCAGTCAATGTCGATGATCCACTCACTAGCAACTATAATCAACGGCTAACTATAAACTATTATTCCGGTAGTAGATTCGGTGTTAACTTCGATAGCTATCGATATCAATACGATCGATAGTTCGGATCAGACGCAAAATAATAACAAAACGTCGAGCAAAACATTGTTGTGTTGCGCGTGGCAAATAGGTTATGTCGTTGTTAAATCGTAAACGAGTGGAAATTTAAAAACGTACGTTTTCAGGAAAAGCACTTTGCAAATTTTTTTCCCCTTTTTTCAAAACTTTTATTATTTTTTTTACAGTAGAGTCCCGATAGTCCGAAATGGTTGGGACCGGACCCATTTCGGATTACCGAATATTTCGGATTAAGCGAAATTTTTACTAAAATGCACGTAACTATGAAATACAACGTTTAAGATTGCCCACTGGCCTACTAACAACGAGTCTATCTCGCCCAGCTGCTCGGATATTACATAATACTTTGACGAAGTGCAACTAAGTGTCGTAACACAACAGTGCTAGCAGTTTCGGCTTTTTCCGATAGGTGACAGCACGTACTGGGTCACTTTATGTGTCTGCATTAATGGCGTTACACGATGGTGCTAGTACAGTATTTCATTAACATTTGAAGTTTCATAAAATGTCCATGGTAACGCAATATGTTTGGTAGTTTCTTTTTAAAAGAGGATCTTTAGAGGAAAAACACAAAATCCTGTCACGACCATAACGGGCGTTTAAATTAATATTAAAAATAGTTAATATTATTTTTATAACTATGTTTTGCTATAAACTAATTTACTTTTATGACCATTATACAATAAAAAGGTCACTGAGCTTTTGGTATATTTGGTCTTTCTAGAAAAAAATAAAAAAACTCAAAAAATTGAAAAAAGCCAATAAAATCTTTTTAAGTTTGTATAACTCCGAAAAAACTTACCTGAGACCCGAAAAATCGTTATGTTTGTATAGAGGTGTGCTTCTTTTGTGTATAAAACATTGAACTATGACGATAATTTAATTTTTGAAATTTTTATGATAGAAATCATAAACGTGATGGTCAGGGACAAGCGGTACGGTCGTGAATTGTCTGGAATAATCTAAATCTTTCTAAACATTCCTTCAATTATCCTGTTAGTTATAATAAAAATATGTGTTTCAATTGCACTAAACTGTTCAATTTACAATTATATTAAAGTTATTGTCACGACCAAACACACTATAATCCATAAGGCTGGATTGGTCGTGAAAAAACCCGCGATGGTCGTGAAACTTTGGTCGTGAAATTACGAGTTATTTGGCTCTGTTCTGGCGGTAGCCCTGCACCTCAAGTTCGAGGATACAAAGTGGACTTCTAGGTTAATCTAGGAATTGAAATATCTTATAAACAAAAATTAACACCATGTCTACTTCATCGAATGACTACGTACGGTCATGGACACACCAAAATTACAAAAAACACAATCTTTCCTTTATTAATCTTGTAATTCCTCCTTTCAACTCGAAACGACCGGCACTACAATCCTGATGTACACCCCGAACTAGTCTCTAAAACCAACTGACTCCATCGACGCCAGGCTTGCCACTGTCGTGCTCCAAAGTTGAAAATTTTTCCCAAATGGTCGTGATGCCAAATCGAGGGACAGACTTATTTTGTCATGGTAGTCAGTTTGTAATGACAATAAAATTATAATATGCTCCTTTTTTGTAAGTTTAATAACCATTGATGACATAAAAATATGGCTTTATATATTTCGGCATGAATAATTAGTCTAAAAACAGCGTGAAAGTTGGAAAATGTACCCTAGGGACACGTCATGGTCGTGAATTTCGAGACTTTAAAAATACGAAAAAAATACCTAGAACCTATTTAAAACCAAATAAATGTGTGTAACATGTTGCCCCCGTCCCAAAAAATATTAAAACACATAATAATAAACTACAAATCCAGTATCTACAAAGTAAAAGGCCAGGGACATGAAAACGTACGTTTTTAAATTTTCACTCAAACACATTATAGCTAATTGTGTCTCGTAACTCTCTCTACGTTTGAATTAAATACCAGAAATTCGTTAAGCATACAATATAGGGTAGTAGGCTATAGAATGGCGTACACTGCCCAAAGGATGCTGCTTGTACTTCAGCAAAAGGAGAGGTGTTTGGAAGGCAACATTGAGTTTATCTGACGTTATATTACACAAGTTTAGGCTATTGTCACCCTCAAATTATATAGTTCTTCAATAACAACTAGGCTAAGGCTTAACCTATTAAATCACTCCTTAACTGCGATACAAGAGGGTTTAGGTAATTGAGTAGCGTATTCCGCCCAAAGGATGCTGCTTGTGCTTCAGCAAAAGGAGGGATATTGGAAGGTGACACAGAGGTTATGTAATATAAGATGTGTAGGTAAAAATCCTTTAGAATACTCAATTGGCCTTACTAAACTTTTGCTTTCCTCAATAGCCTAGTGTATGCTAACTCGTTTGGATTTTATATCCCTAGTGGAAGAGATCAATATATATCAATACAAAAATTGTATATTGATACGTATTGATACATATGTGTATTTGGGCCAATACACATCAATACATATCAATACAAGTAAATAGGATCCAAATCATTAGCTTATTTGAAAATAATTTGTAGCTTGTTAAAAAACCATTTTTAATTTGTTTCAAAACATCAAATAATATCAACTATGCACTAAAAATAAATTAAAAATTAAAAAGTAAAAAAATGTTTGGCAAAAAGTTCAATGCGTTCCCAAGGTTTGTACCGGGGACTCCAGTATGGAAGCCGGATGTCTTAGCCATTACACCACGGACGCTTTATGTTGGACTGGGTAATGATAGCCATTTTGAATGCGAGAAGCTGTGTTAGGCCTCATAATTTAACTTGAAAAGATTTTCAATGGCATTTGTGTCATTTCAAGCATGTACCTATATGCTTTAACATGTTTCAAAACTGTTTTATTACTAGTTAGTTCAAACTGTTTTCTTGCTACTTGGGTGATATGAATAACCCAAGTAACTGTTTTGTAACAATTTTAAAATTATATATTTTTAAATTACCTATATTGAGTTTTAGGTACCTCAGCTAACGCCTATGACCTAGAACTAGAGTTTTTCCTTTTTTCAAAAAATAACATTTTTATTACTGTTTATTTCACAAAGTTTACATTGGTATTTTGTATAATC